ACCACCCTCCGCCCCTGCACCGCCGCCGAGAAGGCCGCCAACGCCGCCGACTGTGTTCCAGTGCCCCTGGACGGCGAGCGCTGCGCCCCCGGCGTCACCTACATGGACGAGTGCAACACGTGCATCTGCTCCATGGACGGCATCAAGGCGCACGCCTCCTGCACCTTCAAGGTCTGCCCCAAGTAGACCGCCCCCGCACAACCCCCCCGCCCCCACGCCTTTATTTAATGATGGACGAGCACCTTCCTCACCCAACGCTCTGCGCTGGGCCGGCCCAAGCGGCCGCTACCAACATGGCGGCAGTGCTCTGCGAGGAGGCTCACATTGCTTATTTACAATTAGTGCCATCTCACGGTCGTTGTACGATTTTCTCTTAATCGCCTTTTTATTTTAGTTAGACACACAAGTAAACGACTCGTCCTTTATATACTGAAATGTGTCGTGTATATATAAAATTAGACACTATAAGCGCTTCGTGCAAAAAAGAATAATTGCAAAAAAGAGGTAATAATTTGACAGTTTCAAAAACATTTTTGCCATAGATGATCATATATTTCTAGTGTAAAGATTGGATTTGTAACATATTTTCATTTAAGTAATTCAATAAAGTTTCAATTGACGAGTCCAAACATTACTTAAAAGGTAATTAAATTTCCATTCCTTCCCATTTACCAAGTAAGCTATCATTTCGTTATATGTAGTGTACAAGTTAATTTCATCGGAATAAAAATTGTGTATTTCTTCAGATTTCCTGTTATAGTTCATTTTTTTACGTATTGAACGAAAACTCACATTTCTTATCATATTTAAACCCTTTATTTTCAATACGCTCCATTTTTTAAAATTTATTTTATTTAGAGTCGCATCAATGACTATATTTTCTTTCCAACTTATTCTTGAAAAAATATTTTAAACATTTTGTGCAATTTTAAGTGGTTTACAATTAGATATATATTTAATTCCTTGAGATTTGCATGGTACAACAGATGATCATTGTTCAAGATCGCCCCCATTACTTCTCTTGGAACGGATTTGTAGCCATATTCAAAAACCAAAGTACCAATTTCATTTTTGAAAATTTAAAGTAGTGCTAACCCACTGCACGATAATACGTACTTCTAAGTTAAGAATTAAAGATTACTATTAACTACAGAGAATAGACTAGTCTGTTTTAGCATAAGAAATTATTAAAATGTGTTACACGATATGGCTAATGCTAAAAATAAGCTATTTTGCCATTTAATTAATGCAATTTACACGTAAATTATTTTCGGCATGTTTTACATTTTATTCAATATTTACTTCATACGTTGCTTCACGTTTTGATGTTTTTTAATGCATATATGTAAGCATATTTTTGTTTTATTCCAAATAAACCCAAGATTTGGTTATTACGTTGACTATTCAACAGAAAAGCATTATTTATCATTTGGAAGTCATTGGATGAAAGAAGTGGGGAAATGAGTGCGAGTGTTTTTGCAGTACTGATTACAATATATATGACTTGTGTTGATAACCTTGCTACTGCAATCTTATGTCAGGAATATAAGTTAAGGCTTTCAAGGACTACCAAATGTGTTTGTCATATTCTCGCAAAGTTAGTATAGAGAAAGTATTGTATTGCTGAGGCAAAAGTAGTAATTTTTCAACAGAAAAACTCGTATAGTTAGACCCTAATACCAAAAAAGTGGATAAATTTTGTTCTGATATGTAATAAATTATTTCTTTTAACATTTTGTGTCGTCAGGAATCACGTTTTTGGGTCATTGATAGCAAAAAGTAAATTTATAGCAAACGTCAGGCCGTACACCTTTTTATCTGTGAACATGAACAACGCTAGCGGCTAAACAGCACGTAGGACTTTCACGAAAATTGATATTTCCGGATCTCTTTGGCTGATGTCGCGTCCTCTTAAAATCAAAACGGATTTTCTTTTATTTCTAGAAATACTTTACGATAAGCCCAAGGCGTATAAATGGCGGTTTTAGATTATTAACAAACAGTAAAACCTTGTCCTAAATGGCAATTTTCTTTGAATAATTTGGAGCCTTCGTAAGAAAATGGCGTTTCAAAACTACTGTAAGTACAAAATTTCGAATCTCTTTTCACAGAAAAACTGTTTTCGAAAAACTCGATACGAAGTCACTTAATCGAAGCATATCCATTGAAAAATTCAATAGTGTTTACAAAATTGCTGGAAATTGGCATAATAACGGCGTGAGAGATCTTAAAAAAATTACATTTGTGTAATCTTTGAAAAAAAATCCCCAAAATGAACATTAAAACATATTAGAGAGTGCAATTAGCACTATCTGTTCGAAAAGTTTGAAGAAAACAATTGGGGGCGTTTTTAGAAAATGGCATTTAAGCGTTTCTGAAAATGCAAAATTTTGAGCTCATTTTCACTGAAAACAATTGTTTTCGAGAAACTTTATTTGACATTATTTAAAGCACATGTACTCACAAATACAACTGTGTGAACAAATCGCTGCTAATGTAAACATGAGAAAGGCAAAAAAAGTACACCTTTGTAAGTTTTGAAAAACTAAAAGCATAGAGGAAACTGAGGTTTATGTCATCTCATTGAGTATATTTAGCGCTATCCCTACCAAAAGTTTAAAGAAATCCTATTGAGCTGTCTTGAAGAGAATCTTGTTTATGTTATTTTTCAAAATTGTACATGTTCCACACAATATTGCGCGAAAGCTACTAAAATTTTCAAAAAAACTGTATGTGACCTTAAAGAAAGAACTAATTATGGACAACAAATTTTATATGAAGGAAAAACCTCTATTTTTAATTTTGTAGTTGCAGGAAGAGACCGGTAAAAATTGCAACTTTTGCGGTTTTCAAAAATTTAGATGCCTATGCCACTTTTATACGTGTATTTTACTCTTTTTTACAAGAAATTTAAAGAAAAAATTTGGAGCCGTTTTTGAGAAAAGTTTGAAAATGTGTAGGGGATTGTAAAGTATGTAAAGTACACAAATTGTAAAGAATATTTTTCAAAATCTCAAAGCTTCGACTCGAGCCAGATACATTGGAGTTTCTTCAATTTGGAAAAAATGCTACGTATGTTCTAGCCGGTACTGATGCTCACAGAAGGACTGACAGGCAGATGGACGTTTTGTCGTCAACTGATTTTTCGAAATCAATGACCCACTAAACGGGGATTCTAGCTGCACCACAGGTTAGAGGATTTTTTTCTTAATATAACAACTCCATTCATCCACTTTTTCATTATCAGTTCCTGGCAATGATTTTTTTCTGCCGAAAGTTGGCCGTTTTTTCGCTCAGAATTACATAACTTCCCCTCTCGTACTACGTATATTACTCCGTATTGTATACGGGACAATAAAATGTATCTCAAAAAGGCCCCATTATCTTTCCTGGAATAAAGGAAAGAACGCTTATAAAAAGGTCTCACTTTCGTTGAACTATTTGAGCTTTAGAACATTACAAAAGTTGAAAATAATGCAATGATATTTGTGTTGTAGGTTCAGTAGTTGAGACCCGAGAGTCGGCTGTTTGTAGTTGCTTCTCGGGATTTCGGTCTGGAGATTCATCGTATGCCTGCCTATGCCCACTGGGGGCCAGGATTCTTATCTCGATATACCCGTCTTATTGTTAGCGATGGTACAATTAAGATTTTAAATTCAAAAAAATCGCATTTCGAAAACGAGGATCTATCATTTTAAAATTAAGATTTAGCATTTTGTAGCATTTGTTGAGAAAATTACTATTAAGAGCGGACTCTTTTAGATAAAAAAAAGTTTTGATGATTTTTAGATTTTGCGATATAAGTCAGGAAGTAAGGAAAACTAATTTAATGTATTGCCATTTGTGAACTTAATTAAATACTAATGCGTAAGAAACGTAAGAAGTAACGCGTGCGTCGAAGGCGCATGGCAGGCACGTCAAACGGCGCCTGCCCGAGCTACCGTCTGCGGAGTCCGGCGGTCCTACAGGCACGGCAACTTCCCCTGCCTCCGAACACATTTCCCCTTAAACTTCAGAAAGGGGTGTACATGTGCAAGTTGGAGCGGCGCGAGGTGGTTAATAGTGTCTTCTCACGAAAATAGGTTTTTAGATTTTTTTGTTTCAAATAGCAGAGAATTTTATTATGTCATTCTTCACTACTTATTACTATTTTATGTTTTATTTTCTTACTAAATTCTCCCTTAAATAAACAGCTTTGCTAAATGACAAGAATATGTTTAAATGGCTTCTTCTTTCCTTGTTTATGTTTTGTGTTGTGTTCTTAAATCATTCCGTTATTTATTGTATTTAGTAATAATGTGGAATAAATCAACAAGACTCTGTAAGTTAACAATTCTTGAGAGCGCTTTTAACAGACAACAATATTTGATTGTTAAACCTTCTAACCTGAACGTAGAAAGTTCATGCTTTTAAATCGCTCTTAAGTAAACAGGATTACAAAATCGAAATACTTTTGATTCAAATTTTTATATTTTACTCTCTTTGGAGAATTTGAAATCGGAGTGAAGTATTATTTCATTTTAATGGATCGTTTATTTGCCTTAATGGGAAAATAGAAATTAAGGTAGCTAAATTTGTGACAATAACTGTCAGGTAACTTTTCCCAAACATTGTCATGGTCCAGGTACGTACCGCCACTCCGTAGCAATTTGTACAACCCTTCCTTTTAAATGTCGCGTCATCTTCTCTGGACGCAGAGCCCGCGAGCTCTATACTAGGATTTATTTAACCGTGCATTTGAGTTGTTCACGATTTCATCCAATCGGAAGCTCCAATAGGGATCCCCATAGTGATGTCACTGTAGCGACATTTAAGCTCCCGACTGAATGAAACCGCAACAGCTGATATGTGTCATGTGCACGACTAAATAAATCGTAAGCTTGTTACCTTTTCCGTGAACTTGACTGCTTGTCATAGGGCCTTCTTTTCCTTCTCCGTACAAAGACCTCCGCTCAACGAACTGAAGAAGCTGAGAACCTTTGAGATGACCTTAAGCGCTCGGGTTTCGAGGATCAGTTTTTTTTAATTATTACTTTTTACTAAGTTTTGTCAGTTAAATCTTATTTACAAATTAATAAACACTGCTGTTCTCAATTTCAATGTTTTCAAACATCGATGTGTTGTTGTTTACGTCGCATCCCAAGTAAGACAGCGAACACGAAGGAAACCATAAAATGCAATTTAGCAATTATTTCGCAGATTCTCATACATTTCGCACTTTGTACGTAATTTTGCATACAATTACTGTCAATACAATTAATGTCAAACATACAATTACTATTTTTTTCAGCGTTTGGTAACATTTTGCATATCTAGCAGTCGCTAAAATCAACCATCTCTACTGATTGTGGGCAAAGGCAGTTTGCGCAGTTCGTGTGGGCCTCCGTTAGTTAGGAAAGCCTTCGTCTCGCAGCCTCGCGCCACAGAACCGTGTGAAGCCGTGCCTTCCCGTCGGTGCGAATCGAGCTGGAAGTGGTCGGGAGCGCGGAGGGGACAATCAGTGGACTTCGCTTCGGCCCCCATGACCTTCGTTGTGGAAGTTACGCCTGCCCCTCCGATAAAGCCGCCGAACCGGCTCAGGCCATCACTGCAGGAAATGGTAAATTACGTTGTAGAAAATTATCGATTTCGGCGAAAGACCGGAAAAAAATTGTCCATTTTGCAGGAAATGTTCCTATGCTTATTTTATGACGTAAACCTTATGTTTTAATGTTTCGCAATCAGATTGTTTGCCTTTAATATGAAGTGAATAAATTACTTCTAGACTCCTTATAACCTTAGTCGAAATCTCGTCGTTGATATTGATGTTTTTGCCCAGTTTCTTATTAGTTGTAATATTTAAGATGTTCATTTCATTCAAAAATTCCAACGGTAAAAGGAATTTTCGCTTCTGTGCCATAAAATTGTGTAACTTCTACATAATACGATCCCTCCAAAAATGTTTTGTCGCAGCTCTAAGCAAAATTTTCGAAAGTACTATAAGATATTTAAGTCATGAAGTCTGTTACATCATGACGGTGTTGACGTTCCCTTACTGCAGGGTTGCCAGGCGTCCCGGATTTTAAGGAACAGTCCCTTGTTTGAACAAAATGTCTCGCAACACGTAGCATTCTTTGCCAGGTCGTCAAATTCCCCATATTTCAAAACTACATCCTTTCTTCGACGGTGTCGATATAGCTGCTACACCGCTGAGGCGGAAGGGAGCAGTCCTCCTTTCAGTTGCAATACGGAGCAGATTACAGCTCTGCTCCCTCAACGGTTGGGAATTTCTCTCGCAGCTCTGCATCCTTTTCTCGTTAACAACATATGAGAGAGTGTGTTCTGTGTCTGTTTGTGTTAGATCAGTGAATGATGCGTGTTAAAAGCGAACGCCAGCGTCGTTAGACGAATTACTTAACGTCTCTACTCTGCTTAGTCTCAGATGGTGGTGAGAACGTAGTGCCTAGCCCAATGGCGGCTCGTGGTATTCACACTTTCGCACGTGCACACTCAAAATAATTCGGTGCATTTTCTCTTTAATATCTATAACAAGAGGAAATTATAAGACCTCTCAGAGCCGTTCCGAAACATGGGATTTCAAAACACGCGCCGTTCGCAAGCAGCGATTGACAGTTCGCCGCCAGTGCCGTTTGTGTCAAAGCCAGCCAGCGCACACACGAGAACGCGAACGAGTAGAGCGCGTCGGGAGGGGAAAGAGGGAACAACAGTGGCTTATGGACGGAAGGAGCATTCGGCTGAGTGAGCGATCGCCTACGCAGACGCAGTGGCGGTCTCGGCGAGTGCCTTGACATGTCTCTACGTTATAACACTCGGCTAGCACAGGTTTTTAAGAGAAGTGAGACATTGAACGAAGAATGTGTCAGATATCTCTCCACTTAAATGAGC